AGCGCCGGAAAGCTTCCATGCTTCCCCTAGTCAAAGCCACCTACAAGAAGGAGGGCACCCTCCAAACAGTTGGTGTGTTTTGCGTAAGAGGCACTCGTAATCCTTCCAAAAGGATGTTTATATAAATATATTAGACATCAAATTATAAATGAAACCGAATCTATAGTCCCCCAAAATCCCATGATTGAATGCAGCTGTCGGTCACCGCCCAGCATTTCGATCTCCAGCCGCCGAGTCCTTCGGCTTCCCCAGGGACTTGGCCCTGCAGTGCGCCTCGCTGGCGCAGGGTGCGGTCATCGGCCATGCTGCGGCCGCTGGGCACGGGAAGAGCTTGGGAGAAGGTACGGACGGCGCAGACGGCACTGGTACGGACGGGGATGGAGGAGTCAAAGGAACACGGTAAATAGATGTAAATATGTTATATGTGTTTAGATCTATAGATGTTGGTAGTGTAACAGGGCTGTCTTTCGCAGAGACATTGCCAGTCACGTCCGACCTTCGTGGGAGCTCATGTTGAGTTCATCTTGAGTGGTACCCTTGGAGAAAATGACACATGGAAACCATGGAAACCACGGGCGGAAAAAGCCGGCTGGAGCACCTTTCATGCCGCAGATCACCACGGCGCGCAACAAGTGGACGCCTTCCCGCGCGGCCAGCTGTTCTGCGGAGGTCTTGAAGAAGTTCATTGCTCCGGCAGCCCGGGACGTGGGAGAAAAGAGCTGGGGATGGTATACCTTGCATCTCCAATGACCATGTTAAATTTGCCTTTCCAAGAAAAATGTTTGTGAAAGAACGCACTTTTTTTTGCATATGTTACGAAATGTTCCGTGTCGAAAAGGCCGGCTTGGCTTGCGCCATCATCGGTTTTGAACTAACCTCCGGTATGAAGACTATCCAAATGGGGAACTTCCACCTGCACTCGTCATGTGGAGACGTGAGTCAGTGCGCCAGTGCGTGCATCCAAATGGGGAGTGTTATTGATCAAAAGTCCAGATGTGGTAACTACTCAATATATGGAGTCAGGCCTGTGGAAGCAGTCATGCCACAGCGAAACACCGTGGCCCTGAGGGTTTCAAGGGGCCAGCCGTGGCCGGCCAAAATGCCTAACGTCACTTGGCACGTTGCCTTCGGAAGCCCAATAAGAAGAGAAGAGGCAGGCCTCGGACAGGCCGACTGTGGCTGATGCTAAAGGCCATTAATCGTCCAAAAATTGTCCCGCCGGGAAGCATTTGAGGGGTGCCACAATGCCTGACGTCA